ATCTTGTTCTGATGTTTTCACTTTTGAGTTCTTAGAATAAGAATTTTGTTGAATTGATCCTGAGGGAACGTACAATGTGGGCTTTGTCAAGTCCTGGTGCTAGATGGCAACAAATTATTTGAAGGGCCTAATCAAAAGATGATGAAAAAGATTTTCTACTTGCGGGAATTTTTTAATCATGCTGTTTAATATTATCTTAAAGATGAGCTGCCATCGTGCGATAAAAATCCAAAAATTCCAAAACACACGAAACTTATCAATAATCTCACAAAACCATGGGCCAAATATAGTAAAACTGCGTTTATAGTTTTTCTCAGGATTTTTTTAAAGGACTTTGAAATTTTAAAGATATGTTTAATTAAACATATGTATGTATTATTAAAAAAAATACAGTGCAATGTGTACCAAACAAAAAAAAGAAATTTCTGCAGAATTAAAAATAATAAAATTTGTTTGGTTCACAAGGACGAATGGGTACTGAAAATGTCATTTTATTTAATTTAATTTATTTTTTTACGCTAATGTTAGAAAGACGAAACTCGAGGATGTAGTCGCGTGTATATTAGTCCTTAAGTTTTTTTTTTCAAAAATAAATACTGCAAATTTTCAAGTATATTAAAAGATAAAATTTTAAAAGGACACTTTCAATACCTATTCGTCCTTATGCACCAAACAATTTATTCTTTTTTAATTATACCGAATTTTATCTTTTATTGAATACCCATATTGCTATTTTATATTCATTTCATTTCATTTATTAAGAGAAAGACATTAGTACAGTATGATCATTAGGGTGGTCCAAAAACAGTAAAGTCGGAATTGTAATGCTCTCACTCCCTAGGATTGTTCTATATCGAAAAAAGTATAGCCCTATTTTTTTATTTTGAAATCAAAAAATATTTAGAGGCCGCTCAAAGCGCTCAAAGTTTTCCATGTATTTCTATATGGAACAAAGCAACTTTTCATAGAAATGGTATAGAATTCTTGAAAATAAATATTTTTCGATCGAAAACTCTTGTTCTCTTCAGGAGACTTTCGATAATTGTTTATTTAGCCATTTTTTAATACTAACGATTTTTTATTTGTCCCCCCATTGCATTTTTCAGGGTTTTCATCGGTTTACGGCGGACCTTTAAATTATAGTTGCGATGAAAAAATGGTTAAATAAATAATTGGGTATTATTATTGGGAGTCTGCTGCAGATAAGCAGAGTTTTCCAATAGAAAAATATTTATTTTTAAGAATTCTATACCATTTCTACGAAAAGTTGTGTTTTCCCCATATAAAATACATGTAAAAATTTGGGCGCTCTGAGCGACCTCTAAATATTTTTTTGATTTCAAAATAAAAAACAGGGGTATATTTTTTTCGGTATAGAACAATCCTAGGAGGCGAGGGCATAAAAACCCCGACTTTACTTTTTCACATGCATTTTTGGACCACCTTAATAGTCATAGATCTTTCATAGTACAAAAGAGGCTAAAATACAAGTAAAAATAAAATATATAATACTTAAGACAGAAATAAAAATAAAATACAAGCATATCACATTATACATATCGCACATTTACATACTTCAAGATAGTGACATAATTCAAAAAAATAAAATACAAATATTGAATTAAGTATGCGGAAATTACCGCTACATCTTTTTCTATGTTGTGTAAAAATTTCATCGCTGTACCGATTACCAGCATCTCACTATAACAACATACATATGTATTAATTTTTACTATGGGAATATATTTAGATTCAATACTCTAAACCTTTTTTTTCGAGTTCTGTTTTTTGAGTTATGACAGTATTGAAGTAAATGGGCGATATGAAGCAAAGATCAACACAGACGACAAAATAAAAGTTAAACATTGAGACAGCGAAACCCAGATTCAAAAATTAAAAAAGTAAATATGTAAAAATATTACACCGAATTCATCAAATAAGTTTTTGAATAAATCATAACTTCGAAATTTTGAGGACCTTTTAAAAGTCCTGACGTCAAAAAGTAAAATTAAAAACGCAGTTTTACTATTTTTAGCACCTAGCTTCGCGAATATATTCGACTTTTTTGTGTGTAAAATTTACTGTCTCACGATGTTACATTTTCAAAACATGTATATTTTTGAAACTTTGAAAAGGCGTGACTAATCATGATCTTTCCAATACATTTTAAATTTTTGTATTGTCTTTTTGCTTCTCCTGTATAGGGGAAATATAATTTTTTGATTAGACCAATTAATCGAATAATTGAGTTATTTACTTTATGATTAATTAAAATTTTGAGTAATCAATTAATCGCACAGCCCTAACAAGAACACGTAAAGAAATTTCGTTCCGAAAAAAAAGAAAATTCTGAAAAAATTCTGCAAGAAACTCTTCACATAGCAGCATTATTTTTATTACTTTACCGATTTTCATGAGAAATTTCGTGAGAGAATCGAAGTAGACACATTTTATTTTATTTTAGAAAATTCGGCAAAAAATCCGATGAGATCTGTACGAATTCTTTAAAATTTCTCTACAATTCAGAATACTCTGAAAAAAATCGTTTGCAGGGTACATTCATACATATGTATGTAAGTATGTATGTACATATGTATATATTAATTTCTTACCTTGTGTGCTTTTAGTGAGCCATGCTCACAGGAGAGTGTTACATCCACAAAAGAGAGATCTTCACGCAACTGCTGGAACACCGACGTCATGGTGTTTTGGTAGTTGTTCCAACGCAGACTAAAATACTGGTGACTTCTGGATGCCATCTTGATGCAATTGCTATGCACTTGTCTTGTCCACTAGTCCAGTTTTACGCCAGCCGTGTTTTTTTATAATGAACTATAGGAATAATAAGTCAAATTTTAATTGTTATCTAAAAATATTTAATTTTTAAATAATAAAACCTACAAACACTTTTGTTTACACATATAGTATATGTACATATCGTCGCTTAAAGTACAAAGCCGTGTATCGTGATACCGCAAAACCTCGTAACTGACCGGTGTGAAAAAAATGATATTTGTATACCGAAAACTGCTGATAGAGATAATTAGGGATAAAAAGAGGGAACCGTCTTGAAATAAGGCAGGTTTTACTCTCTCTTGTAAAGTGTGGGCAACCTTATCTTGATACGCGGTTCTGTACTTTAAACGGCGATATGTACAGTTGTCCACAAAATAATAAAAGTGCGATATTTTGACCAGTTTTGGCTATTTGTCTTTTGTTTATTTAATGTTTATTGTTTTTTTATAAAAGCCTAGCTGGCTATACAACAAACACCATATAAAT